ATGGCCTTTGAGGATCAGAACTTCTCATTTTTTAGGATGGGGTGGAGGGGGACAGAGCATGGAATAATACTCTGTATGAGTCAGATTTTCCTTGAAGAGTGGCTAAATCTCTGAGGGGCTTTAACAACAGAAGTGAAATGTGGTTTCCTAAGTTTTGGAAGTCCACTGACATTGGTCTGACAAGACTTGTAGTTGGGGAATGATGTGAACACTTATTTTCCTGATCTCTCTGATCTTTGCCACCTTACACACATGCTTGCGAGAAGTAGCCAAAAGAAACAAAAGCTCTTTCGGTTTAAGTGAAATGGGATTAAAAATAGTGTTTTGTTGAACAATTCATAGGTTTCTGTGTGCTTAGAAAAAACGTGAAATAATCCGGTCTACTTTCAGAATACAATTGAGAAATGTTACAAGTTGTGAGGGCCCTTCCGGTGACTTGGTCCAATCATTTTTAGTGTATACTTGTAAAAATAACAGCTTTATTGAGATAATGATTCATTCGGCGTAAAACTCATACTTGTAAAGTTTGCAGTTGGGTATTTTTTAGTATGTTCACTGACTTGTGCAGCCGTCACCACTGTCTAGTTCTAGAACATTTTCATCCCCCCAGAAGAAACCTCATTAGCAGTCCCTCTTCATTCCCTCCTCCCCACCTCCTGGCAACCACTGACCTCCTTCCTGTCTCTGTGAATTTGCCTATTGTGGACATTTTGTAGAAATGAAATCATGTATTAGGTGGCTTTTTATGTCTGGCTTTTTCCACTTAGCAGAATGTCTTCAAGGTTCACCCACAATCTAGCACGTGTCAGTATTTCATTCCTTGTTTGGCTGAATGATATTCCATCGTGTGAATATAGACCACATTTTGTTTTTCAGTTCATTTCATGAACGCTTTGGGCTGTTTCCATTATTTGGCTGTTTAAATAATGTTGCTGTGAATATTCTTGTACAAATTTTTACGTAGACGTGTGTTTTCAGTTTTTTCGGGCATAATACCTAAGAGTGGGATTGCTCAGTCCTTTGCTAACTCTGTTTACCTTTTTGAGGAGATGCCAAACTGTTTTCTCAAGTGGCCGCACCATGTCACAATCTCACCAGCAATGTATGAGGGTTCGTTTCTCTACATCCTGGACAGCACTTGTAGGGTGTTTTGGGTTTTTTGTTCAGCCGTTGTAATACAGACATGCAGTGCTATCCCATTATGCTTTTGATTTGCATTTCCCTAGAGACTAAGGATGTTGAGCATCTTTTCCTGTGCTTATTCAACATTTGTATATTCTCTTTGGAAAAAATGTCTATTCAAGTCCTTTGCCCATTTTTTTAGTTGACTTTTTAAAAAAATTATTGAGTTCTTTATATATTCCAGATGCTAGACCCTCACCTGGTACATAATTTGCAAATATTTCCTCTCACTCTGTGCATTGTCTTTTCACTCAGTGTCTTTAGGTGCACAAGAATTCTCAATTTAGATGATGTCCAACTTGCCTGTTTTTTTTTCTTTTGTCTGCAGCGTTTTTGGTGTCTTATCTAAGAAACCATTGCCTAATCCAAGATCACAAAGATTTGTTCCTGTGTTCTTGTGAGAGTTTTATAGATTTAGCTCTTATATTTAGGTTTTTGTCTCATTTTGAGTTAATTTGGTATGTGGCATTAGGTAAGGGTCCAATGTCTTTCTTTTGCATGTGGATATCTAGTTGTCTCGGTCACCATTTGTTGAAAATACTGGTTTTCTTCCCCCTTCAGTTGTCTTGGCACCTCTGTTGAAAATGAATTGGCCATGGATGTAAGGGTATCTTTGTGGACTCTGAATTCTCTCCCCTTGGTCTGTATGTCTGTCTTTATGTCAGTACCACACTGTCTTAATTATTGTAGCTTTGCAGTGAAATTTTGAGATCAAGAAGTGTGAGTCCTCCAACTCTGTTCTTTTTAAAAATTGTTTTGGCTATTCTGGGTCCCTTACAGTCCCACATGCATTTTTAGATTCAACTTGTCACTCTCTGCTGTGGGGTGATGGAGTGGGGGAGACTGCTGGGGTTTTATAAGGGTGTTGCCTGTACTCTCTACATTGATTTGGAGAATACTTCTATTTCCACATGAAATCTTTCCATTTCTTTAGGTTTTCTTTAATTTCTTTCAACAATGTTTTACAATTTTTAGTTTATAAATCTTGCAATCTTTTGGTTAAATTTATTCCTAAGTACCTTATTATTTTTGATGATACCTATGTAAATGGAATTGTTTCCTTAATTTCATTTTGGGTTGTTCATTGCTGGTGTATAGAAATACAGTTGATCTTTGTGTTTGTTCTTGTGTCCTGAGTCCTCACTACACTTGCTTATTAGCACTGATAGTGGTTCGTGGATTCCTTAGGATTTTCTGCGTACAAGGTAATGCCATCTTCAAACAAAGAAAATTTTACTTACTCCTTTTCAATCTGGATGCCTTTCGTTTTCCTTGCCTAATTACCCTGGCTGGAACCTTCAGGAGAAAGCTTCCCAGAAATGGTCAGGGTGAACATCCTTGTCTTCTTCCTGGTCTTAACGGGGAAAGCATCCACTCTCACCATTAAGTATGATGTTAGCTGTGGCTTTTTCTATGGGTGCTCTTTATCAAGTTGAGGAAGGTCCCCTCTATTCTTAGTGTATTGAGTGCTTTTATCGTGATCAGGTGTTGGATTTTGTCAAATGCTTTGTCTGCACAGGCGATAACCATGTGGTTTCTGTCTGTTCTATTAATATGGTGTATTATTATGTTGGTTCATTTTCAATCTTAAACTATCCTTGTATTCCTAAGATACAGTTTACTCTTCCTTTTATTAAAATACTGTTTATTCTAGAGCAAAATGACTTTCAGTTCTCTCTTCTGACTTTTCCAGTTTATTTAGATAATTTGCCACAAACTATTTTTTTAGTGATTAACTAGAAAACAGTGTTCAGATTTTTCTGCTTTGTCACATTTTTTTTAAAAGATTTTATTTATTAATTTGAGAGAGAGAGGGAGAGTCCAGAGGGAGAGGGAGAAGCTGACTCTGCTGCTGAGCAGGGAGCCCGACGCGGGACTCGATCTCAGGACCCTGAGATCATGACCTGAGCTGAAGGCAGACGCTTAACCGACTGAGCCACCCAGGCGCCCTGCTTTGTCACATTTTATCCAGCCTAGTCATAATTTGGAGAAACTCAATTTTGAGTGCTTTTAAGACTATAGTGTCTGTAGTTTAGAACCTTAGTATATTTCTTACAGGTGGTTTTCCATTTTTTATGTTTGGTGGAGGCTTATAATTCACTTCTATCAGTTCATGTCTGGTTTCTGAAAGAGAACTTTTGCCTTTGGTGATCTGCTTTAAAAAGATAGTTAAAAATGCCATACACACACATTTATTTATTTGTGTCTGTTAGTAGAAAATTTTCCATTTTTTTATATAAGTGTGTAATGTTTTTCACCATAATAAGCAGAAATTCTCTGATTTATCTGACATGCTCGTTAGATTTTTTGTCCTTGGAGAGTAGATAGTACTTCTAAATCTGAATATATAGTAAAGCATCTTCAGTATTTTTAAGTGTGATTTTCCCAAAGCCTCTTGTCACTGGATTAATTTTCTGTGTTATTGTTGGAGTTTCTACAATATATATGCATGCACTCTGACATGCTGTGGAGCATGAGGTAAATGGTGTGGCCAATGCCCTCGATACATGTCTTACACATTCACAGACAGAGGAGAGAATGGGTCTGGCCATGGTGGGAAAGGACCTGGGTGTGTTGAAGCAAGTGACCTTGCCCAGTGGTGGAGGCAGCCACTCCTTAGAGTGAGCTCCAAAAGGAGTGGGAAGAGAGGAGGCAGAGACCGTGAAGACAGAGCACTGTCCAGCTTTGCTTTAAGAGGATGAAGTGGAGGTCAGCTTTCTTTTTTTTCTTTTTTTTTTTAAGATGAGAGATTACAGTATTTCTGTGTGAAATTAGGACTCATCTGTTAGAGGGGAGAAAATGGATGGTGCCGCAGAGAGCCGGAAGTTTGTCTTCGGAGCAAAGTCCTCGAGGAGCCCAGGTGGGACAGGACCTCTTGGTGGCGCGACTGTGTGGAGGATCTGTCCTGGGCGCTTCTGGTTTGAGCGAAATAGGCAGAATCACTAGCAGAGTGAGGCGGGGGGCTGGCGTACAGGAAGCGTGGGCAGAGGACGAGGTGTGGAGAGCTGGTTGCCCGGTGGTCTGGGGGCGCCGCCGAAGTCCGTGGAGGCAGGGGAGCGCGAGCAGAGCACCGCCGTCCGACAAGGCTTCGGGGCAGCTCCGGGCTTCGAGGCCAGGGCTGGGGAGGGCGGGCTCTTGAGTCAGACTCGGGGAAGCCCAGGACCCAGTGGGGATGGGAATCCGGGAGAAGGTGGACATCAGTAAACAGGATGTAGGGGAGGTGCGGTGCGGTGCGCTGCTGACGGAAAGCACGCAAGTATGGGGTGCACGTTCCCCGGGGCCAGTGAGCCAGCACCTTGGGCCCTCCTACCCTTGGAAGCACTCACACTGTGGATTAGATCCCCCTGCTTTTGGACTTGATATAAATGGGATCCCACTGTAAGTGCTCCTCACTATTTTCTTGGTGAGACTAATCCGTTTTGTTCGGTGTGTAGCCGAAATCCGCTTCCATGGCTGGGTGGTGTCACCCTGTGAATGCTCCACCGTGGGTGCATCTTCCTCCTGTTTGTGGGCACGCGGGTGGTTTCTTCTGTGAACGCGCCGCCGCCGAGTGCCGTCGCACTGACCAAGCGGCCGGGTGGCTGGTGGCCTGTGTCTGCAGTGGGGTTTCTGGGTCATGGAATGTGTGGCTGCTGAGCTTTGGCGGGCACGGCCCATCCAAGCGCTGGTGCAGTTCCCCCCGCCCCCCAAGCGGTGTGTGAGGCTTCCTGCTGTTCCCCATCGGGCCGGCGGGTGTGTGGTGGTTTTCACTCACACTGCTTGAGAACCTTACTGGCCGGGGATTCTGATGAGACTTTAAGGGGAAGTAGATGATTGGCTTTCATCGTGAGCCCTTCTTGAGACTGGTTTTCACGCAGTCCTGGCAGTGAGGGGAGAAGGTCAGGAAGGGGACAGTGGTCTCAGGAGGAGCGTGTGCACAAGTCTGGGTCTCCCCCACGTCCTGCTGGTGCTGTTGGGGTCCACGGAGCTTCCTTACCAGGAACAGACGGGTCCCTGGCCAGAAGGTGGCGTTTAAATTAGCCTCCACAGCTTGAGCTACCTGGGGAGAGGAGAGAAAAAATTAAATGGCTGGCGACTGTATTTCCCTCGTCGTCGTCGTTGTGGTTTCTTTTGTTTTGACAATGACTCAGCAATTTAGGTGGTAAGTTCCGATTCCCTGTGTTACTTATTTGGTAAACAGATGAGCTGTGATAGTTGGGTATTGATAGGGTGTTAGGGTGGTGATGTGATTTGAGCCTTCAAGAATGTTCCTCTGCTTTGTGCAGCTAGAACTCTGATGGGCAGCGCAGGACGCGGAGCGGGCCACTCGGGAGGCTGTCCTAGGAATTCAGTCTGAGATGATGGTCACGTCGGACGTAGGGCGGTGAAGTAGAGGAAATGAAATTTTCACACTTGCATGTTTAGTTTTGAAAAGCTTAGAAGTTTGGGAAAGTACAAGACTAATACAGCAAACTCCTGTGTACTCAGCACACAGCCGAATCTGCTGCTAGAGCTGTCTCTCCCCATCCCCTCGGTTGGACCCCAGGGCCTGACACCGTATCACTCCTTGCTCACTCTTAACCTCCTTGTCTCTCTCAGCCCCTGTCCTCATAGTCCTGGCAGAGCCCCACACCTGGTCTCCCCATCTGCCTGCCGAGCAACTCCAGAAGCTCCACTGAAGGGCTCGTTTAAAGTTACTCCGTTCACAGAGATGTCGGTCCCTGGGAGCTCTGTGTCCCCAGCACGCAGGGCACTGCCCGGCCTACAGTAGTCACTCAGTGTGCTTGCCGAATTTTAAAAATAAGCTGCTGCCATTGATGCCGTGACACAACCCTGCATTTCTCTGGCGCAGTTCCCGCCTGTTCTGAGAACACGTCTTCACTCGCCCCTCACATCACCTGTGCTCTGCGCAGATGAATCTTCTCTCCTGCCCCTGGAAAGAAGAGCTGCCGTCTGGTGAGACCACTTGTCAAGCCCAGGTCCGCTCCTGCCTCTCCTGGGCTGTGCCCTCCCTGACCCCCCCCTCCAAAACACCCCCCCCAGTGCAGGTGCCCCTGCTCCCACCTGGCTGCTAACCCAGCTCTCCTGTGTCATCAGCCCCCCTCGGCTGTGCTATGCCGTGGGCACATGAATGTGACTTCATGTTCTCCATCTTTTAAAGCCTTGTTGACGACGTTTTCCCTCCGGGCCCCCTCCCCGCACATGTCCTGTTCCTGCTTCCTTATGTCGCACGCAGTACACCCTCTTAGGGCCAGCGCCTCTTACCCCCTGCCCCTCCCAGCTGTGAAGCATCCTCAGCAGCCCTGAGTGATGTCTTAGGCTGCTAACTTCCGATTTCCTGGTTTTATTTGGAACAGTAAGTACTGACTTCCCGTTATGGTAACTGATGATTTAGCTTTTTTTGCTAACATCACCTTCCACCCACATGCACCCCCCCCCCCCAAAAAAAAAGAACAGGAAAGGAAAGAGTTGAGAGGATTCTGTCAGGAGTCTCAGTTCCCTCCGCACTGTGCTGACTGTTCGTTACTGAAGTGAAGTATCCATTTTCTTTTTCATACAAATTTCATTTTCCCCAGAGCTAACGATTGCCTGGTGGCTCCATATGCTTGGCTCTCTGTGTGGTGCGTGTGAAGAGACGCTGCGGCAGCTGTGCACGTACCTTGCCCTGCGGGTCCCAGACACAGCGGGCACCGTCTGTCCAGCCCTCCTGTCCCCCGACGACATCCCCCCAGCCGGGACTGCTGCTCCCGGAGCCATTGGCTCCTATCCTGTCTTCACCAGCGTTGGCATGTCAGGTCCCCCACCTTCCTTTCCCTTGGTTTATTCTCATTTTGCCAAATTGCACCTTACAGTGGTTTGCTGAGAAAAGGGGTTTTAGTTGTGTGGTTTTTGCCTTCTTTTTTTTTTTTTTGCATGTTTGAAAACATCTTTACCCTCCCTTTTAAACGCGATTGAAAATTTGGCTAGGTGTAGGATTATGGGTTGAAAATTATTTGTTCTCGGAATTTTGAGGATGGTAGGTATTCCAGCTACCATTTTCTGCGTCCTGTCTGCTGCCATCTGATTCCTTTGGTGTGTTACCTGTTTGTTTTCTCTGGAAAATTTTAGAATCTCCCTTTATCCTCGGTGTTGGAGTTTTCTTAGTGAGGCACTGTGGGTGAGGGTCTGCTCCGGGGTCAGGCTCGGCCCTCACGGACCTTGTCAGCCTGGAGGCCCCTGTGCTCCTGCCCTGGGACACACTCATCTTAGTCCTTTGACGTCTGTGTCACTTCCTTTTCTCTCGTCTTTCTGGAGCTTGTGGCCTGGTGATGGGCCATCTACCCTGATCCTCTGATCATCTTTTCTCTCCTCTTGTCCATCTCTTTGTCTTTTGTTCTACCCTTTGGAAGACGTGTTGAGTTCTGAAATTATTACCGTTTGACTTTCGAAGCTCACATCCTTGTTTTTCCTTTCTCTGTAGTAGCATGCAGCCCATCCTCCAGGGAGCCCGCTGGATGAGGTGGCTGGCAGCCTGTGCCCTGATGACAGGCTGAGGCTGCCACACGGGTGAGCTGGATACAGTGCCCAGGGCCTGCTTCTCCCTCAGAGAGGGGTGACAGGAGCCCTGCTTCCTAGGCTGTTGGAGGTTTGCTAGCTTCACGCAGGGCCGTGCTCCGTTAGAACAGCACCTGGCCCCTGGCAGGCGCCCGGCCAACATTGCTGAGGTCATTCCTGTTGGCAGGCATTAGCTCCCTGAGGACATTAATTGTCGTTTCTTTGACATTTTGTTGATGCACTGCCCCTCTTTCCTCCAACTTCCTTGTTTTGGCGTTTTCTCTCACCTGTCTGCGACCCTGAGTGATTAGTTCATGTCTAAGACGCAGCCACTTTGGAGCCAGCAGGCAGTTCCGTGAACAGGTGGGCTTTCCAGCTGGAGGGCTTCCCTGTGGTTGGTCATTTCTTTTCTTTTCTTTTCTTTTCTTTTTTTTAATATATATATATATTTAAGATTTTATTTATTTATCAGAGAGGGAGAGATAGAGGCAGGCAGAGGGAGAAGCATGTGGGACTCGATCCCAGGACCCTGGGATCATGACCTGAGCCGAAGCCGACTGAGCCACCCAGACGTCCTGGTTGGTCATTTCTTCAAGGACCCCAAGTGTTTGAATCTTGAGGCCTTTTCTCCGGAGATTTATCATTTCGGAGAGGAGCCCTGGAGATGGTGGGAACCCTTCACTCGTGGCAGCCGGCGTTTGGGAAACAGGAAGGGGGAGTAACTGTGTGTTCCCACCTGACAGGATGGGGACAAGCTTGGGGACCCAGCAGTTCGGGAAACTGACCTTCTGCCATCTCCATGCCCAGCACCTGGTGTGCAGCCTGCCCGCAGCCCTCGGCAGGTTGAGACATCGCCCCCCCTTAGACTGTCACCTACCACGCCTCCGCCCCTTGCCGTCATCTGCGTGGCAAAGCCTGCCCACCATTGTTGCTTTGTGGATCGACACCTTTCCAGCTCTCCTCGGCACCTTAGTGGTGGTGGGATGGAAAGGCCCGTGCCCACAGTGGGCCACACTTGACAGAAAGTCTGAGCTGGGTTCTTAGGGGCTGCCAGGCATGAGTCATGGTTTCGGAATCTGACTTAGAGATTTACTGAGTAAGTTCTGCATCAGCCAGAGGACCCCTCCCGGCAGAGTGCCTCGGCGCAGACGGTGCACAAGCGCATGGGAGCCTTGCGGCCACTGCCCAAATGCAATGTCGCCCCCTGTGGCCAGCAGGTGCTGACGTGGGCCCTGCGCAGGGGCCTCTGGCTGCTCAGCCAGCCAGAGCGGTGTGCCTGAGCCCTCGTGCGGTGCGTGGCAGGTGTAAAGGCCCCACTGGGTGCCCTCAGTCAGTACCATAGTTTCGCTTTAGCATGACACTAGTTTTGTAAAGTAATGGCCATCACATTAAACTCATGTTGGTAATTTAAATTTCGTTGGTATTTAGTTTGTATATTTATTTTGACTTTAGAGCTCTTCTAAACTCTGCGGACAACATTTTCTAATTTTAGATTCATACATATTTGCACAGCTTAATGACAATAATTTCTCACCAGTGGTAGTCATGGGAGTTTCTCTTTTAAAAGATTCAATCCTTTTTAATTAAATTTAAAAATCACTGACAGAGCTAGGATGCCATTAATTATATAATATCGTACACCCCCTGGGTATGGATGACAGAGACTTAGTCCCGTTTAGTCCAATACAGAATATTTTAATTTTATTTAAACAAATTGGGTTATTTTGAGTAATTTAATTTAAAAAGTGGCACTTCTAACAAGAAGCCTAATTCTTTTCACAGCTGTAACTGAAGGGGTGTTTGTGTTTTTGTTTCTTAAAAAAAAAAGGAAAGACATCCCAGGCAAAACAATTCAGTGTGTGTTTAAAAGTCGTACACAGGGGACGCCTGGGTGGCTCAGTCGGTTACGCGGCTGCCTTTGGCTCAGGTCATGATCCCTGGGTCCCGCATCGGACTCCCTGCTGGGCTGGGAGTCTGCTTCTCCCTCTGCTCCTCCCCCTTCTCCTGCTGTCTCTCAGTCTCTCTCACTCTCAAACAAAATCTTTAAAAAATTAAAAAGTCGTGCCCAGTGCAGGTGAGAGCCTGTATCGCAGGAAGTCCTGTGTTAACTATTTGACTAAAATGTGCACACCTTTAAGAGTTGTATCATGTTATGGCAGTTTCAGGAGTGGCGAGGGGAGTTCTTCAAGTACTTTCAGTATTGGGGTCTGTTTCCGAGGATTGGACAAGCTGTTCCAGGAGCTCTGTAGCAGTATTGGTCTTTAAACACTCCCGCCTCTTCTGTGGGGCCGTGTGTGTGCAGAGCACGCACTCCCATCTGCCAGTCGGACAGGCCCTTTCTGTCGGTGCTGCAGCAGCTGGGACGGGTTTGTACTGATCCAGCCTGTCCTCGTCCTCACAGCAGCCAGAGATGAGATTGTCTGGGCAGCTGGCGAAGGTGAAGAGTCCCTGTGCTGGATGGAGCGGGCTGACAGCAGCCCATGCGGGACTAAACCCACGTCCTTGTCCTGATTGAGCCCGCACTCTGTGCCCCCGAGCAGGAGAAAACTCTTTTCTAAAACTTTTCCTTGATCCAGGAGTCCATTTCATGAATTGCGATCTGTTCCCTCGAGACCTTAGCTGGAGAACACCCAAGGACTTTTCTTGCAGTTGGCTTTGTTGCTTGTACCCTCTGGCCTTACCCGTAGTGAGCTGATGGCCAAGATCTTTGTGTGCTTAGTGTCAGAAATCTCAGGTGTCCCACAGCAGTGTCTCGCTAGGTAACGATGATGTCGTTATCGATGGTAATGGCTGTGTCTGGTCAGCAAAGTGGAGTTTGTACTGTGTATAATGTACAGAAGCCAGCGAAAGTTATTGCAAAGAATATTAAAACACCTGTTAATGTCATGTAAGAATCAGATTTATAAGTTAATATTAGGCATGCATCATAAAATCAGACAACAGTCTTCTAGGACCAATTTTTTTTTTGTCTTTTCAAAATTAATTTTCTAAATTTTCACTCGATATCTTTATATTAAGACAATGCAGTCTAAATAAATCCTGGTGACCTAGGGACTGAGCATTCAATCCACTGAGCAAAACCCGTAAGCCCATATGTGCTCTTGGGCTCTGGGTGCCGCAACTGGAATTGGCTGCTTGGTAAAGACAAGTTTCCCATGAAGATTTTGCTTTATCCAGGGAGAAAGTTTTATATGTGTCTGTCCTTCTTTTGAACCTTTTTTATTGATCTTTGATATTGATTATGACTCCTTCTAAAATCATAATCTGGTAAATTGCTTCTGTATTTTATTGACAGCTGACATCATCTCAACTGTTGAATTTAATTACTCTGGAGATCTTCTTGCAACGGGAGACAAGGGCGGCAGAGTTGTTATTTTTCAGCGGGAACAAGAGGTCAGTGATTCACAGTGCACAAGCCAAATGAAAGCCAGCTTTTCTCATGTCACTTGGAAGGAGGGAGACACAGGCACTTTCTCAGCCGCTGACTTCACTTAGATTCGGTTACGTCACACTAACCGTATAGAAGCTGCTTATCTTGGGTGAGCAAGAAGATCTGTGTTTCCGCCCACTGACGTCCAACCACTGAGCTCCGATGGAGTCCCTGTGCCCTTGTCTTCGGGAGAGGAGAGTCCTTGCCCTACCCCCAGGCTGTCGTGAGGACCAGATGAAGGATGTGGGGTGGTGGAGTGCTGCATCTCTCTGCTTTCATCCTGTAATTAATTAAAGTGGCTGTGGGTGAGAATCACTTCAGCAGCCCTGGAGGTGCTGGCCCCCAGCCCTGTTGTCCAGCACTGCAGTGTGCTCTGAATGGCCCCTGGGGAAGAGTCTGTGTGTACTGGGGGGCCATGAATTCTCTCCCTCCTCAGTCAGAGGTGAGCAGCCTGCTTCTTCCATGCCCTCTGAGGACCCCACTGTCAGTGCTGAGAGGAAGGAGTCCTCAGAATGGGGCCTGGAGGGCCCCACAGATGACTCGCACTCATGAGCCGTTTTGTAGGTCACTCCCTCTTTTGGGGGGAAAGGGCAGAGAAACCCGTCTTTTTCAGTTATGCATAAGAGGAGAATGGGAGGTAGAACCAGGCCTTGCCAGCCCCCCCCCCTTATTTCTGGGGAGCCTCATTAGAGTTTGTGACGAGTGCTGAGGAAGGAAGCGAGACAGCCTGTTGCTCTGCTGGTCTGTTGTGCACATATTCTGGGCAAGAACCACGGCGCGGCCCAGCCTCGGTTCTGACAGCTTCACACACAGGGCCCCTTGTCTGTGTCCAGGCAGGTCTGTGGGCAGTTACTTTCCCATCTCCAGATTCTAGTCTCTACATTTTTGTGGTAAAACTTTGGTATGGCATCTAGTGGGCCCTTGTTCCCTTCCAGTAGATCTGCGTGGCAGCAAATGTCAGCCCTGCCGTGCCAGAGAGGGGCGCTTGGGGGGCATGTGTGGAGGGTGAGCCCTGGGGCCCCCCAGTCAAAGTGAAGGACTGCGTTGGTCAGTGGGAAGAGATTTAGGGAACGCCAACATCTCATCGTTCAAATATACCTGTTACAGCTCTAATTTTGATTATGTCCACGTAGGTTTAAAAACTTTTTTAATCCTATTTTTTTTTATTTGAGATGGTGAGAATTCTTTTGTGGAATATATTGTTATTAGTCTTTCTAGATCTTCAGAGATGATTTGATAAGTTTATAATTTTGCATTCTGTCCCAGAGGTAGATTATTACATGGTGCTGCTTAAAAAGAACTATGTTTATTACTTTTAGCAGAAGGATTATTTAGCAGATTGCTGAGTCATAGCTGTCTTAAATTTAAGAGTTCACTTTTAGCTCCTTAAAGTTTGCCATTTTAATGATATTCTTATAGAAAATGAAATTTTTCTCATTTTTGTGAGTCATCATTTAAACCTAAAAAATACTAGCTTCAGATGTGAGATAGATTATAGTAAAACTTGAGCATCTTGTTACAAAATACGTTGGGCGTCACAGTTTTGAGAACCTGTAGCATGAAGTGTTTAGTTAAGATGTATTAAATCATGGTTAATAATGTGAAGCAGCAGATTCATACAGCAGCGGGTTGTTGACATTGTTGGTAAACCCGGCCATCTGCAACTTAATAAACCCCGGGCAACTTTTTACCCCATCTTTTTCTTCATGTTTTCGTTAACATAAAAAGAGCCTTCATATTCCATCTGCTTTTAAAGTATTTTGGTGGTTGCCATATATAACCCTCACCGTGGACTTGGGTTTTTCCAGTGCTCTCAGTTCGGCAGCCACTGCCCCCTCTGCGGAGCCCCAGGGCGCAGGCCTATGGGAGGCACAAGGGTATGAGGACAGCGCAGGGCCGTGCTGGACTGCGGAAGGTGGCGTGGGTGTCAGGCCAGGAGATTGGGGCGAGAGGGAGCCATCAGAAAGTTTGGGGTGTGCACATGACGCGAGGCAGGGACCATAGTTAGCAGTGTGACGTTCGTGCTTTTTTTCTTCTTAGTGGCAGAGCCCTCTGTTTCGGGAAGCCCAACGTTGTCAGTGTGAGGTGAGCAGAGTTTAGGGACATGCTTCTGCTCTGCAGTTCATCGTGCAAATTACTCAATTTGGGTAGTTCTGACACCAGCACTCAGTGTGTCTGAAACCAAAATGCACTTTCCACCATCTCCCTGTCCTTGCCCATCCTGTTCCCAGTGCCTCAGGCTGGCAGCCTCGGCGGCCCTGGCTCTGCTCTCTCCTCGGGACCCAGCTGCCATGGGCAAGCAAGTCTTCCTCGAGGCCCTTCCTCTCGCCTTATCTGTTCTTACCTCTCCCTGGACAGAACGTGGAGACCACTCACTGCCTGGGGATCCTCGGAGGCTGACGCAGGGCCTCAGCCTGTTGGATGGAGGTTTTAGGTGTTGGGGGTGGGGGTTGGTGCAGTTCACAACAGGAAGACGGGCCTGCAGCATGAGGAGCGTCTGTTGCAGTTCTTGGGGAGCGTGGCCGGGAAGGGCAGGTGGCCCATGGGGTGGGTGCCACATATAGTTGTTAATATTGTTTTCTCATCGTTCTCACAGAAACACTCATTGATGCCACAGATGGTTCTTTTTTAAAGATTTCAATTTCTTTCTCATTAGCAAGGTAGACCATCTGCTGGTGTTTTCTGCTTTCTCGTAGAGAGGGGTGCGGGCCTGAAGAAAGAGTTAATGCACCTAACACAGCCAGGCGTGGAAACCATGTCCTACATCCTGGGGTCCATGCATGGTTTCCAGGAGTGTGCGGCACATAAAAAGCCACGTGCTAGAGAGTTTCAGGGAGCTGGGGGGATGTTTTCTCATAATAGGTGATCTTAATTCAGAAATACGAAGAAATCTAGACATAAATGTTCTTCTGTTTCTTTCAATTTCCTTGACACACAGCCTAAAGTATAAAAACGTAAGATTTTAGATGCTGATTATATAGCAAGAATTAAACAAAATCTTGGTGTCCTTGGTTTTTAGTTATGTGATATTTTTACTGTTTCATAGAAACTGTCATTTTGGATACAGAAGATTTCAGAGATTAATAAAAATACATTTATGAACCCACCACCTAGGTTTTCCTCTTTCCTAAAAGAAAAGCAAGCCCTCAGCAGGTAGATGAGGCGCCCGTTGTGCTCTCCCTATTTTGGCTTCCAGCTTTGTTCCCAAATTTACCTTCTCACTCTGCCTGCCTTCCCAGAGTTGGTTACTATTTTGAAGACATCATGCATCTTCCCAAGCATGTTTTTCTACTTTTACTGTAACATACAGAATTATTTTACGTGTGTTAAAAATTCCATCGCAGGGGTCCTCTGCTGGTGCTGGTCACCGCCCAAGCACCATTCAGTCGTCCTCCTCCGGGGGTGGGGGTGCGAGTGTTGTCTTGGTGGGCTGTTCCAGGGCTCGGCGCAGACCGCTCGGCGCCACGCTGCACGGTGCTGCCCCCTCCATGGGCCCACCAGCCCCTCCAGAAAATGCGCGTACGTGATGGAGCCTCGTCCTGTGCAGGCAGCAGACTGATCCGCAGACCCTGCCCGGGAGTGCGCGCCCGGGAGCAGGAGAGAAGGTCTGCGAAATCATCTGTTACTGGTTTTTTCCAAGTAAATTAATTCAGAATGTCCTCTGTTTGATAATTTTTGACCCAGGATTTCTTTAACTTTTAAAATGTGTGTGGTCATTTTATATTCAAATTGGTAGTACTGCATTTTTCTCTGCACTGTGCTTTGTTCATTAACCCAGCTCATGTTTCCTTGCAGAACAAAAGTCGCCCTCACTCTAGGGGAGAATATAATGTTTACAGTACCTTTCAAAGTCATGAACCAGAGTTTGACTATTTGAAAAGTCTAGAAATTGAGGAAAAAATTAATAAAATTAGGTGGTTACCACAACAGAATGCTGCTCATTTTCTACTCTCTACAAATGGTAAGAGCTTTTTTTTTTTTAAGTGGTTATTTGATTTAGGATTTTATTTTTAATTTGCTGGGTGTAGCACATTTTTACTTTACTTTTTACTTTAACCCATTCTAGAAGTGGTTTCTGCTTTAAACTTTGGGGAGAAGGTAAATTATTGGCTAGGTAGTGGGTGGTTGGCTGAAAGCTTAAAGTATACGAAAGTGAGCGTGCACACATACTCCCGTGTGGTTCTGCCACGGCACAGGCCTGCACACTTTACTTACTATGCAGAGAGAATGTCCAGGTTCATCTGTAACTGGAAAGTAACCTTCAGAGTCTCGGAGCTTACCAGTCAGCATAGAACCACACAGTTTTCTAATGTAATACTCGACTAATAGTGGTGCATGATACAGTCTTTCTTTTAATATGGACACTAAGGTTTTTATTTGCAGATAAAACTATTAAGTTATGGAAAATAAGCGAACGGGACAAAAGAGCAGAAGGTTATAACTTGAAAGAGGAAGACGGACGGCTTCGAGACCCATTTCGAATCACAGCACTGCGGGTACACGCTGCCTTTCCTCAAACTACCCAGTTCTCTTTAGTTAATCGGGGACGGTGCGTAAGTCAGCTGTGTAGAGAAGACCGCTGAGTAGGACTGCTGTGACATCTGCCCTCTCGGTTCATGGAAGCTGTTTGTAATTGTAGTCATCAGTGTATCTGTGTGTTAGAATTGGGATTCTTCATCTTTCACATAAGCAGGAAGTTACACAGTAACTTCAGAAAATCTAATGATACTAAAGACTCAGGTCTAATCCTACAACACATCTTTCTTAGTGTATCAACTGCCTTTCACTGCAAAGGTTGTAAGTAGCACATTGGTGGTGGTGAGGTCCCCGTGGGACTCAGAACGGTGCCCGGGATGAAGCCGCGTGGACTGCGGATGCGAGATAAGCTGCGCACTGCCGGGGCTTTCGTGGCATTTCCTCAGTTAGCTGAGGCACACTCTAAGCTTTCAGAATCCTTTGCCTGTCAGCCCATAGTATCATCACTTCCTTTTCTAATTGTGAATTCTTCACTCCCTTTTTGGTATCCCTGGGCACCCTGTGATACGACCATCTTCATCAGTTCTGATACCTAGATTTGGTTCACACTAACATCTGTGAAATTGAGTCAGGTCATTGCCCAGTGGTGCACACCCTGGAGGGTGTGTGAGACGAGATGAGATACGGGAAGGGAGGTGGGGCGCCAGGACGTGCTGCATGCACAGGACGGGAGCAGGAAGACCAGCACTGGCCTTAGTCCTGAGGTGTTCCCTAAAACCATTGCCCCATGCATGTGAAAATTGTTGGTTGGCTGGTTTGTTTTTTAACAGGGTTTAAAAGCTTTGCTGAATATTGTTTATCAAGTGAAGACCTCATTGGTGAACATGTCACGGGTTAGTAGGTGCTCCAGGGAAGGACACCCCATTGCAGAGGCCATAGTGACACAGGCGCAGAGCACCCGGGGTCTGTCTCGGTTCCGTTCCCCAAGCTCTGCATGCCGGGTGCACACGGGGTGCTGGGATGGCGGGCACACAGGACCGCCACAGCCCCGGCGTGGGGGCAGTGCTCCCCAGAGCGCGGGGGACAGCAGCGTTGCCAAGGGAAGCGCAGGTGGGTCCGTGTCTTCGTAGACTTTTGCGTCCAAAGTGTCACCGCACGGCCAGGGGGTTGACACGGAGAAGCAATGTGATTGACTCAGGGCAAGTTTCTAAAACCCTGATTTGAACCGGGATGTTTTGATCTGAACACCGGTGGTTTCTCTGCCACCAGGCCCTTCCACATCCGTGTGGCAATGATAAACCACAGGGAGTGACAGTAGCTCTCGCACTCTGGCTGCCAACATGTGAAACTCCGAGCGTGGCCGAACAGAGCAGGCTTTGGGTGCCCTGGTGTCTGTCTGTCCCCCGCCGCTTTCACGGCCTCCTGCCGAACACACAGCCCCCACTCTCAGCCTTCTTCGCCACACCAGACGCTCACGTGCCTGCTGGAAAACCCACAGGTCTTGGTGGGCTCAGTGTCCCCTTTATTCAGAGGCTTTTTGATACAGTCCCCTAGATACACTTGGTCTAACTGGGCCGAAGTGTCGTTTCATTAGAAACAGCTGTTAGGAACACACTGTGATTTCAGAGTCACAGGCTGTAAGTTGACCTTTGTCACTTTAGGCCCATATTTGATTTCTTAATTGTCTCTCTAAAAGCTAAAAAAAGGACTATTTGTCTAAACTTAGCTGAGTAGGAGTCAAAATACTGCTCTTTTTAAATTGTTTTCCTCTTACATTTTTAGTGCCAGAACAGGGATTTAGTTAGGAGGAGCCTTTCTGTCCTAGCCTGAGAGTTGTCCTGTGTCTTGATCACTTAGAGACTCGTCAGAGGGCTGTGGTGGTCTGCCCTGCGCCCTGCAGGACAGACACCTCCGCGCCAGAGAACACCAGCGTGGGGTCAGCACCTGGCTGGTTGAAAATGAAGGGAGTATTTATGCGTGTTCCCCCACGCTCATTCTTGCAGACTTTTGGGCAGAGAGGTCAAGAGGAGAGCTTTCCTCCTAGCCTTCCCAGGTGCTCCCTTTGGCTCTTAATTAGAAAAGTAACAGAGTTACTACTGTTAATTTTTCATCTTGCTTTTTAAGCTCCTGCCTTCTTTCCCACTAGATGTCAGTGATGTTGGGACTCTTGTTCTCCTTTCTCACGTGTGGACGCGATCACCCACGATGGCGTCCCTGCCTCTTGTGGTGATATAGGTGTGCTCAGGCCGGGCCCTTGCTCTCACCTGTTGCCGGGCTGACTCCACGGTCTGCACAGTGGTATAGAGGTCCTATTCCCTGACCGCAGTGCCCAGCACAGACATGGGTTTTTGTGTCCCTTTTAAAAAACACTTTCAGGGCGCCTGGGTGGCTCAGTTGGTTAAGCGACTGCCTTCGGCTCAGGTCATGATCCTGGAGTCCCTGGATCGAGTC